CTGCTTAACTGAACTTTTATTAGGATTGACACTAATAGGACTAAATGAAAGACTGGGGAGTGATTTTTCTCTAACTTGTGAACTTTATGTACTTGGATATAACTGGGTTCATTGTTTCTCTCTCTTGAGCATTATCATATAAAAGAGAACAAAAAAATAGAAGTTTTGGGGATTTTAGAATCCCATTTTCCAAAACTGGCACGGGACTTTAAGTAGTGCACTCATCCCTGCCCTATTTTTAATTACTTTTTAAAACCTGATTCAATTTTGAGACATTTTTCTTAGGAGGGAACTAAAACCCAATCTCAAGATAACATTCCTTTCAGGTAACTGCACACATAGCTCCACATAGTTAATAACATATCTCCTGCCTCCCACCTTCAAAGACGTTTTCAATACATTAGGCTATCACAGAGATATGAACTGAAATATTGTTTAAAATCCCAAGTTATTTAATATGTATAGATTTGGACTGCAGGGATACCTCAAAGGCAAGCTAAGAAATTGTTCCTGCATTCTAGGCTTTGTTTTTGTTGTAATCAAATCATGAAATAATTAGATGCTAGTGATGGCATCAGAACTTGAACTTGCATCTTAACTTAAAACTAAAGAAGGAAGGGCGCTGCAATTGCAGCACATTGGAGCAGACTCAATTAATAGAATCTGCTGGAGCATGGTAATTACTGTGCTCCAGCATTTTGTGCATCAGCATCCCCGCACTTCAAAATGGCAAGGGCGCTTTATCTAAAGCTCGCTCCATGAGCTTTAGATAAAGCGCCCCTGCAGCCATTTCAAAGCATGGGGATGCTGATACACAAGACACTACGGGCACTTTAATTAGTGTGGCTCTTGAAGTTGCTCTAATTTAAGTGCCCCCTTCCCACTCACAGAGCACATAACTTTGCAGGTCATTTCAGGCATTTATATATTTCTTGAAATGCTGTTTGTCTTAAGTCTACACATGTTTTAAAGATTTGGAATTGTGAATAGTTTGCATTTGATTTCTATGACCAAAAAATCCTGCTGTTTCCCGTTCAACTTGACTTTGAAGGGTTGGAAAAATTCCTTGAAGTCTGCATAGTGTTTTCTGAACACTCATGTTCATGGTGATTTGTCTGCGGTTGCCAGATGCTATCTATTTGTCTTTTGCTCTGTGTGGTACTGAAATGGTGGCCGCCTTTGGCAGGGCCTTTAAGATCTACCAATGCATATACATACTTTTGCACTGGTTTCTTGTTTATTTTCTTGTTTGTTTCTGGATATAGTTTGATGGCTATGGACAAAGTTAGTAAAATCACTTGTTGTAAATCCTGAACAAGATTTTGTTTACCTCTTGTAGCAGGGAACTGGTCTTGATGACCCAAAAGGTCCCTTCCTGTTCTGAATATGCTACCAGTCACAGTGTTTTTAATGGATTCTTCAAATAGTCTTTCTGTTATTTGGCTGCTATGGTCAGGTTTTTATGTCCTGAATGGCCTGACGCCTGACTGAAAAACTACTTCTCTTTATTCAGTTTAGGTAATTAAAAAAGAATGGGAGATTCTTGCTGTTTGGAGAAATCAGTTTATGTGGAGACTTAACTTTTTATTCCCCATATTGAAAGTATGGTCTTTAGGGTTCCCTGAACGAAGTATTTTTTTTTTCCCCAAAAGGTATGTCTTCGCTATGTGGAGATTCCCAAGCTAGTACTGAATAAATTGGTGCAAGTCCCAGAAGCAGCACATCTTTGTTAGCTCGGTTCTGTACCTAGACTACAAAACAATGAATACTTCAATCAGTTCAATTTTGGGGATTTCCTGTGTCAGACTTTTCCATGTTCGATCATAATTATCTTTGCTTGCCTCCAAATAATAGGTTGCTCCCTGTGTTGTAAGGACTATGAAAGGGAAAAGGGATGTGCCTTAAATAGATGCATTGTATTTTTTGGCATTATTTAACTGCTGACACCTGAGAGTTTAGGTCCTTTGTGGTTCCTTGACAGTGCCAGCTATGCTAACATTGAACACAGACTAGAGAGTTGGTGCTCTACTTATAAAAGTTAGACATTGCCAGTTACAAAAGGGAAAATACAGAAATCTGAACTTGGGCCTCACCAGCTAAGAAATATGTTTGAATTCAGTGTTTTCTGTAAAGTCTGCTTATGATCTGACATCTTAAAGACATTTCATATTTAAAATATTTTAAGTTCACCTTTAAAAAGTAAACAAAATACCTTCATTTTGTAGTTGTACTAGTAGAGTATTTTAGTTGGCTATGTATGCAAGTCTTGTAAATCTTCTGTCTATTGATTTGGAGAAGGAGCCTCTTGGAGGATTGGATTAATAAGGGGATTTTGAATATGTGTCGTATTTGCACCTCAAATATGAGGAAATAAGCTGGTCCTTTTGTGCACTATGCTGTTACCCTGGCTGTGTGACAATTTGCACATCTCTTAATGTATGCCTTTGTGATCAGAGAATACCTGTGAACTCAGGTTTTCAAGTTTTAAAATTTAAACTCTCAAGAATCTGCACACTTATTTTTTTAATAGAGCAAAGGTTAAGGGGGAAAGATAAATTAGGACATTTAGCACGTTACTTTGTATCCTTTGTCCTCCAGAACTGTCTGAATCCCTACAGTGTGTTTAGAATTTGAAACTCTTAGATGCATAATAGAAATTACCTGAACTGTTTAGTTGTTTGATGTGGCATCAGAAGTGTTGGGTCTTTCAAGCAGAGCCATACTATTGTATGTTCTGTAGAGTTTGGAGTACTCTTCCAGGTCTTCCCATATGGATGCTAAGAACTACGCAGGAGGAGATTTAAAAGTAGCTGCTCTCAGGCACCACTGGGACTGAAGGGGAAATGTTAAGTGGGGTGAGGAGTTGGTGGAAGGGACCTGGGTGCATGGGAGAGAAGGAGACTCATTTGAGTCCAGTCTTTTCTCCCCCCCAGGCAGAGGGTCGGACTTGAAGATCTACAAGGTCCCTTCCGACCCTACTTCTCTGATTCTATGAGACACAGACAAGTTTGTACAGGAAGAAAATATGCTGTTTGTTGTTTACTTGCATGTTTTATATGCTGCCCTTCCCAACAAGAGACTCTGGATGGTTTACAGTAGGAGAAACAGAACAACCTAAAAGGGCACCTAGAATAAATAAAATAAAATCAAGCAAAGACCCACTAAATGGCGTATGGGGAACCAGTGGTGAAGAAGTACAAACGGGGTTGGGAAGGGATAATAAATGGTCTTAAGACTAGATAGAAGTTTGTGATGTGCTTATCTGTGGGGCAGAGATTTTGCACAACATTCATGTCTGGGACTGCTAAATCAGATGATAATACCATATGCTATCAAAGGAAGTGGAACATACCCCTGTTTTTTATAGATAAGCAGTTGCCACATAAATGTTGTTCCTTAGTGGTAGGTGAGGGTTCGCACTAATACGTTCTCTGATCGTTATCCCACTGCTCCCAACAGAACATTTCTGCCATGAGGAAAGGTGTTGGGATGGGAGAGATCAGCATCATCATGGTGCATTTATGATAGTTCTCTTAGTACAGCTGTCTCCTTTTGGGTCACTGTAAATGTGGAATACTGCTCAAAGTAGGCAGTTGTAGATGTATTTTTTTTAAATGAATTCTTAGTAGAAATTCCAAAGCCTATAATATGCATATTTGTCATTGCGAGAAGCTGTGAGCACAAACAAGATTTCACACTGAATAGATAGTTGCTTTTATGAAGTCATACATTTCAGGCCACAGACAAATGCCAGTGCCAGTATACACATGGAATACCAAACTTTTATAAGCTTATTGCTTTTGGTATTCCTAAAGTGTACCAGAGACACATTGGTGTGGCATTTTAAAAATTTTTTTATGCACACCTGGATGACCAGATTTGGTCATCTGCATGGCTGTCCAACTTTCAAAAATGCCACTTATGTACAGGGTGGCACTCTTACTCCTGGGCAAATAGCCCTATACACATGGATAGCTATATGTTTGGCATGTATGTAAATTGCATTTTTGTGACTTAAATGATCAGCGTTGATTGTCTAGGAACTCAGAAAATGATAAACTAGCTTCCCCCTTCCCCAAACCCATATTTGAGACCTCTTGTTATTGGCAAGGCTTAATACTATACTATGCTAGTGTTTTTTCTTAGGTAGCAGGTGTAATGGTTTGTACTTCTGGACTGTATCTGGAAGAGCAATTGGCAATGTCAGGATGAGTTTTGTATTTAAATTCAAACCATTACATTATATTGTAAAACATTTTTGAAACTTGAGAACTGGATTTGAATAACTTAGTGCTTTAATTTAATCATAGTTGTAGGATTTGCCCTCTGTAAAGTAGAAATCTACCTTCTACAGGGAAATTAGTAGGTAGCCTGTGTTCTCTTTCTAGATTCATCTTTAACTTGTACAATTACTTTTTTTATTCATTGCTCAAGAAGCCAAATAATACTATGTGTAATTATTATAAATTATCATCCACATAAAAGGTGACCGACTCCAGAGGCATCTGTCATAAACTAAAATACAGTTGTGAAAGATTGAAGTACTATATGTTTTTCATCCTTAATATGAAAACAAAGTGTAATTAGTGCCCCTTCCCCAAACTGGATATCTTTTACTGTAGTCCTTTGTGCCTGCTGGCCTGAGACTTGCAAGAAATGAGTTAATAGGAGGCTGTATTTAGTGTACATGAATTGAAAACTGAGCTCCTCTATTTGCCTAGTATTCTGTTTTGTTAGTATGCTGAAGTTCATAGCTATGGTGAAGGTAGATTACCATTATTACGTATTTTAATGTCTTTAAAAAGGTTTAACTCAAATAATTTGATAAATGAGAAAATTCAGAAAAACTGAATTAAGTTTAGTTATGATTTACCATTGCTTTGGATGGTCCATTAAGTAGTATACTTAAATCTGTGTCAGAAAGTACATATGTCCTGAAACAAATAAAATAATTAAATGTTGGTTTGTTTATTGTTTTGTTTTCTTCTTTCCCTTCCCAGGTGTGTGTTGGTAAAACTAGAAGGATGTAGCCATCCTGTTGTTATGAAAGGATTGTGTGCAGAATGTGGCCAGGACTTGACGCAGTAAGTATTGCCAGATCATTTAAGCTTTTTTCCATTTACACGGACCATCAGAGAACTTGAATCTTACAAATCTTTCTCATCTTCACTCTTCTGTCCCTTTCAAAGGTAGGAAACTTGGCTGGTAATAATGGCTATGAATTAGGTTAAAATAATTTCTGTTGCATTTCTGATTCATATGTGGAATTTTAGATTTTAGTATTTGAATAGAGTAGGGGTGCATTGATAGAGATTTTTTGGTAGTGACAGTGAAACTGGAGGTGCCACAGTGACCTCAATGGAAGAAAATTAAACTCTGTTGAAGTAGATGAGTGGACAACCACGGCATATCATGTATAGCTCTTTGGGTGTGCTAAAAATTACTGGCAACAGTTTTCAGTGCCTTTTTGTTTTGTTTTTTAAATTTAAACAAACAATATAAGGGAAGTACATGCTATTGTGTAACATCTTTACATTTTTACAACTATTCCAATAAAAATAATTTCTTCCCACATAAAGGTTTGAATTTGTTTGAATATAACATTTAAACCACACTAAGTCTGCTGCACTTAATTTTTTTTTCCTAATCAAATACTTCAGTTCAAATACTTGTCACTATTAGGAAATAAAATTAACATGGTGGTGCTTTTTTAGTTTTCTTTACTAAATATAAGTCAAATAAACATACTAAATCAGATCACGCTCTAGTTAGGGCACTGGAAAATTTTCCAATTAAAAAATTTCTGGAAAACCCACATCTCTGCATCAGCCAAAAAAAGCTTATTGCTGATTCAGTCAATTCTCCTTATATTGGTGCTGATCCCATATGGGACTGATGTATTGGTGCACCTCTAAAAATAGTATCAGTACTGCTTCATGATGCAGTAAAACTATATAGAGAAGCTTGCATTGAGCTTGCCCATGTTCTGTTTTAGTTCTGTTTGCTGTAATATTACAAATATTATTTGTTTACATCAATTTACCATATAAAATAAGGGAGTAAAAAATCTGGCCCTTGGAGCCCTGTCATCTGGCCGGCAGTGCGACCTTTGAGTCTCTGACCAGCGCTATGTACTATATGCAGGACTTACCAGCCTATATCGGCTCACTTTTTTTTTTTTTTTTTTTTTTGGTACAGGGTTCCTTCTCGCTCTTCTTTCTTAACCCAAAACTATACATTCCAGGAGAATGTATTGAATTCTGGTGTCTGTTACAGCACCACATTTTGTCCTCAGTAACCCTTCTGATTCAAGGCAATTACTAGAGTTGAAAGGGTGAACAAGGAGTCATGTAGGGCACAATTGAAAAAAATCTGACCTTGGCTTTTAAGAGCTCAGGTTTGGCAACCTAGCAGTTGCTTGTAAACTGATCTATTTAATCTGGAAATTGATTTGAGCATGGAACTGTGTGGTGTCATTCTTGGTCAGCTTTCAGAGACTTGTACTTTAATCACTTTTGTTTAAAAATAAAAAGCTGTGGAGAGAAGTAAGGCCTGCTTAATAGTTCTTTGCATGCTTTGTAGGAAGAAACGCAGCATTATGCTAGCATACCACTGGAAAGTAAATGTTTCCCGTGTTCTCCAGCATGTGAACAGACCATTGTAAAGAACTGCAGATAGATAGGCTGGTTTAGAGAAGAGTATTTGAATGGCATGTTGTTAGTTTTCCAGAGGCTCCCTTACTAATCCGTTTTCAATTCAGTGGTTACATTTCCTCTAATGTGCAACAGATTTTATAATGATCTAAAAACTATCCTTAGTATTGAATGCTGACTAATATCTAGTCTTTCACCTTGATCTTGTATATGTCATTGTTCAAGAAACTGTCAGAACAAATTACAGCAAAAAGTTATACTTACGTGATTTTCATAGTAAGCTTCTTGGGTTCTGTGATCAGTTTTGTTCTCAAACTTCCAGTAAAGAGGCTATGACAGAAAAGTATTCTACTGAATTGTAAATTTAAAATGAAATTGATTTTATTCGACAGTGACTGGTTTGACTTTGAAGTTTTTAACGGTGTATGGCTTTCATTGATGGAAATCATTAGCATTAAAATACTCTGCTAAAACTTATGACTTTTTCCTGCCTGATTAGGTTACCAAGCAAGAATGGAAAACAGAATGTGCCGTTATCCACAGCAACTGTGTCTATGGTTCATAGTGTCCCAGAACTGATGGTTAGCTCTGAGGCAAGTTCAATCACACTTCTTCGGTCATGTGCTTGGTATAGTTTCATGGTTATCTTTTCTAAATTAAATCTTTTCCCTCAAATTGTATGTGTTTTAATATAGAATATTTGGCCTTACCTGTAGAGAGTAAACTAAGATATGTGGGTCTTTAATTAGCCATGTATTGAATAATTTAAGGTTTGTGGTTTTTTTCCCGTAACACTGTTGATATTATTGGTACATCTTGCCAATTCCCTTGGAACCTGCTGTACAGCATTGCTGTTTGCTGCAGTGGTGAGATGTTTTTGTGGTTATAACCAGGGATCCTGGTTTTCTCTGATTTGAAAAAAAAATCCACCATTTTTTATTTTAAAAAAGCAACCCCAAATCCACACTCTTTGGGATTCAAATAAAACTCCAGTATATCTGTATCTATATTTAGTGGTGTTTCATTTAAATCATGAAAAAATGTGGATTGGAGCTGAAAATTGGGGATTTTCTTTAATCGGTGGAAATGAGGATCCCTAGTTATAACCTCAAAATCTAATGAACCCTTTCTGGTTTTTTGTCTCCTTCAGAAATAAGAAGTTTGTGACAGTCCAACTCTTGCCCCCTAAAATATACTCAAAAGACAGAAACATCTTTTTGAAACCCAGCTTCTCATAGAACAGTGAAGAACATGATAGAAATGACCTGCTATTTCTTTAGTAGTGTTGTAGTCTATGACAAACCTCTCTCTTCCAAGTCCTTGCGAGGCATGATTATTGAACTAAACCTTTTGAACAACTAAGCTGTTGGAAATAAACACAGGCTATTTAATTACTCTACTCTTTCTGGAACAAGAGTACAAAAAGTAGCTGTACAAACAAACATGCCTTTCTAGAGAGTTGGTTTACATTTGCAATAGTATTGATTCTTCTCGTTAATAGTTTTAGTTTAGTGTTGTAATCTAGCCAGCATTATTTTGTATTTATAATCTACTAACTGTAGAAATTGAATACTGAATTTAGTAGCTATTTCTTTTTCCAGAACTGACCAGTAATCCTGTGCTTCAGTTTTTGGGTGGACAGCTGAGGAACTTTTGAAATATTGGGCCCATTTCACATGTTTCAAGTTATCAACATTCCTAGTTTCTTTTCTGGATCTTGGCCTCATGACTTGTAGTTAGATGTGTATTGTTCTTAGCTGGTTTTATAAAACCTGTGAAACATTTAGTTTTATAAGCTGTGAATTTTTTAACTGAAAAATGGTTGGCAAAGGTACCTAAAATAGAGGCTTAGTGGTCCTATTCTCTCCCCCCAAATTGCTTAGAATCAACACTTTCAATTAGTTTTGAAATAAACCTCAATTAGTGGCTTATTTCAAAGTAAATTTGATCTGTAAATCTTTTCTTATAGCAAGCTGAACAACTCGGAAGGGAAGATCAGCAGCGACTACACCGGAACCGAAAACTTGTACTGATGGTAGATTTGGACCAGACATTAATTCATACTACAGAACAGCATTGTCAGCAGATGTCTAATAAGGTAAATAGTTTTTTGCTGTTACATTTTTGCAATTACTTTTGATTGAAATTTGGCTTGAAACTTTTTTGGGTCAGGTTTGTGAGTATATACACTGTGATGAAGGTATTGATGAAAATAAGTGAAAAATTCAAAGAAATGAAGGACACTATCAAGATAAAAAGTATATTTAAAACATTTAATTATTTAAACATCTTTGTTATTTAAGTTGATTTATATTAGAAAGCAATTTTCTATCATTTGTACACTTCTATATTCCATTCCCTGTTTTAGTTGCTTTAAAACACAGGTTTTCACAACAGAAAATTCTATGTATTTTCAAGTTTACAGCTTTAGAGCAGAGGAAGAAGATTCTTCAATTTTAACGTAAAATAAGTTAATATAAACAATTTCTTTAACTTTGCCCTATCTTTTCCAGAAACACCATGTGACTTGCTTAACACTTTAATCCTTTCTTTCTTGCAAGTAAGGATTGGCTTGCTTTTTTCAGGTGCTAGTAGGAAAAGTTGCTTTGCAGAGAAGCTACTAAGCTTCTGCACTAATGGAAATTATCAACCTGTATTAATATTGTGTAACTGAAGACTCAGTTCACATTGTCCATGTGTCTGGCTTGATTACTGGTATATGATTTTACTTGCTAAGAATGAAGGCCTACACTTGGGACAGAATAATTGTATGCCCAAATGCAGATTGGGGTGTGACTAGTTAGGCTACAGTACTGCAGAGAAGGATCTGGGGGTTACAGTGGATCATACGCTGTTGACTCATATTCAGCTTGCTCCTGTTTCAATAAAAAATAAAAAAAAAATCCAGCAGTTTCTTCAGTTTACATTTAACAAGCGTGTCTCCTGTAAATCAAAGGAAGTGATTTACTTTATTCGGTACTGGTGAGGTCTCCGCTGGAGAAATGAGTTCAGTTTTGGGCCCCATGTTTCAAGAAAGATGTGAATGGATTGAAAAGAGTCCAGCAGAGGGCAACAAAAAAAGATTATAGATGCTTGAGAAGCATGGTTTATGAAGAAAAGCTGAACGAACTCAGGCTATTTAGTCTGTAGAAGAGATTTGGGGGAGATTTGATAACAGTCTTCAAATAACTGAAAGGTAGTTACAAAGGGGATGGAGATGGGCTTTTTCTCTGTGGCTGTATCAAAATAGGGAACAGGACTATGAGCAACGGCCTCAAGCTGCAGCAGAAGTAGTTTAGGTTGGTGGATTAGGAAGAACTTTCTGATTTATGGTAGTGGCCAAGCATTGAAACAGGCTATGTAGAGAAGTAAAAAAGTCGCATATCACTATAACATTCTTTGAATTTTTTTCCAACTAAAAATTTGTCAGACTGAAGTAAGAGCCATGAACAGAATAGAGACAGGGAGGTGTTTTGGGCATATTTTGAGTACAAAATATGACTTCTTTATTAATTATTTGTTCTTTTTTAGGGAATATTCCATTTCCAGTTAGGCCGAGGAGAGCCTATGCTGCATACTCGTTTGCGTCCTCATTGCAAGGAATTCCTAGAAAAGATTGCCAAATTGTATGAATTACACGTTTTTACATTTGGTAGTAGACTTTATGCACACACTATTGCAGGTAAGCAGTATTCTGTAGATTGGGGGTGGGCAATTATTTCAGCTGGAGAGCTGCTTAATGAGTTTTGGTGAGCTGTTGAGGGCTGCAAGGGTAGCTTTGCCCCTTGACAGGTGCCCTGCCCCCTAATCACCATCTTGGGACCAGAAGTTCTTCCCCTGAGTTTTGCCACTGGAAGGTCTTCCCCTTGCCCCCAGAAATACTCCTTTCAGAGGTTGTCATCTCATCTTGGAACCAGAAAAAAAATCATATACTAAAAGTCGAACATCTACTATAACACATTTTAATTTTATTTCAAAAAATATTTTTGTCCTGACTTATGTATGTTTGCATAGTGTATATAGAGGTGATTGCATAAAAACAGTTGTACTCTTGTATGTCATATGTATAGAGTATGGTTGGGGCAGTGGGTGGGTGTGTGTATGGTGGAGGGTATATGTGGATGCATGTGTGGGGTTTGTGAGGCCATGTGGCTATGTGAGGGGGGGTGTAAGGTATGTTGGGAGGTGTGGGTATATGCGTGTGTGGGCAGGGTGTGGTTGTGGGTATGTGGGGTTTGTGTGGTGTGAAGCCTCCTGGAGCTGGAGTTCACTTCTTATAGATTTAATATAGCTTAATAACAGGCGTGGGTGACTGGTGTCTCCTGAGGCTGGGGGAGGGCACCAGATCACCAACAGGGATGGGGTCTTCAGCGACCGATTGCTGAGCCATGGGTGAAAACTGGAAATGCACTTCTGGTTTCATGGCTGGCACTTCCAGGAGGTGCATGGCCAATCTCAGGGGGTGCATGTACACCTGTGTGTACTCCCTCCATGTTGCCAATGATAACAGGTATAGGTTGCAGCTGTGTTGGTCTAAGGACATAGACAAGGTTGTTTTGGTGAATCTGATATTTTATTAGACCAACTCAAATAGTTGGAAAAATTATTTTTAGGAAGCTTTTGGGTATAAATACCCTTTGTCAGGCTGAGGAAGCATCTGCAATTGGTGTGTGCTCTTCCTGGATGGAATGAATAGTAAAGAAGTCAGAGGCTGATAGGCGTGCAAAAAAGCCAGTCAGTGAATGTGTAAATTGAGGAGTTAGAGAGTGAGAGATTGCATCTTGTTCCATCCAGCTGGAAACATCCTATTCTTGACTCTGACCAGTTCATGAAAACTTGTTTTAAAATGCTTCAGTTTCCCTCTCTTTTTACAATTGATATTGTTTCCCCCCATCATGTGTCATACCATTTCAATATCCTGCATTGGAATAATGAGGAAATTTGAGCTTCAGAAACCACAATAACAAAATTGCAGGATTGTGAAAATAAGCCTAGTCAATGCACATGTTGAACACTTGATGGCAGCATTGTTTAAAGAAATGGGTTATAGTGGAAAGACTTAAAGTGGGGGTAGTACCTAGTTTTGGAATGCAAGAGGAGACTGGGAATGTTAATCTGTATGAAGAAATTAACGCTTACCCTTTAGGTTTCTACATCTTTGTTCCCGATCTCTTGCTAACATCTGCATATAACTTCTTGCTTGGTGGATATCTTTCCTCATCTCCCTCAGAAGTCAGTTCTTGCCCTTCCACATCTTCTAGCTGTTGCTTCCGACTGAGGCCATAGGTGCAGTCATGACAAGTGATATCTAAAAGTAGTGTCCTAGGTGTACTTAAGATGTCTCCTCCTAGCATTCTCCTCCTGCTAATTTTCCAAGAAATGCTAAAAGCCATCTTTTCAGTAAGACAAACGCACCTAATTTGGAGAAAGATGCAACAAATATCATAGACTAAAGGAAAGGGGGGAGGGGGAGAAACTAACCTTTAAAAATGTTTGAGTTCTGCTAAGATTTTTTTTTTTAAAAGAAGATGCATCTTGGACTGACCTGTCTTCCTAAATTACAGAAAGGAGTAGGGCTCAATTTGTAATTGTGTTGCCTTTGGATAATTTAAACAGTGAAAGTAGAAAAGGGGTCAAATAAAAAACAACCCTCCACATGCTTCAAATTATTGTTTCTGTTTTGTTTGATGTATGCCTGAACTTCTTGGTTTCCTCCTGCTCTCAGTTTCGAGTATCTTTGTGATACCTCAATACCTGCTAGTTCTCCTGCTCTTGTGGAGCCCCCAAGAACAGGGAGTTCTGTGTTGGAGACTCTCTTTAAAGAATCGTAGAGAAAGGATGTAATGGGAGCATTCTTAGCAAAGTCTCTCTCCCAGAAAGTTATCATAAACATGGAGGAATCATGGAGAACAGAGCTTGGTGACGGGAGTGATTTCAGTGTGCTCCAGCAAATGCAAGTGATGACAACTGATACGCTGCATACTATGTTGAATGAGCAATATTAGAATGGAAAAGATATTGTGCAGTAGTCATGTAGAGTGTTTGGGAAAGGCAATGCTCACTGAATGCAGAAGAGATTTTTAAGTGGCAATATGTGGCCTGGGATATGATAGAAGACTTGCCTTTTTACAACAGTTTGTCTACTGAAGTTTCTAAAGGCCTTGGTGCATAGCAGCTTGACTTAAAGAAAGAAAAGAAAGAAAAAGCCTCTTTAGGCAATCCAGATGTTGTTCCATTTTATTTGGTGCAGCTTGCTTGTGTTGCAAGTGACTGTTTCCTGTTGTAATGAAAAAGGATGGAATAATTATAATTAAAAGGGGATGGATGGATGGAGATGGAGAATGAGCAAATGTTTCTAACATTACTGTCTTATCTATGGTTTAGGTAAATATTCAGATTAGGGCAATAAGTCTTTTGCGTATGTTATCTGGATTTCTGGGCTTGAAAAGAATAAACTTGAAATGAATGTTAGAAAGCTCTTGTAGTTGAATTGCATTTGGCAATAGATTTTAAATAATATAAAGTGTACTTGGCTGTTCACTCAAAGCAGAACAAAAATTAGCATGATTTGCCTAGAAATGCAAAGTACAGGGCATAGGAGCTTTTCAGATAAGCCCACACGTTCAAATGCATCTAGTCACAAATACATGACACTGACTTGTTCCAGATGTTAAATGTAAAATGTTACTAATATTGTATAACCTCTTTACAGTTTAAATTAGAGAAATGTTTAGAGACAACACCAGTAGAAATGCACCAGTGTTTTATTGCTGATGGGCCAGTCCATCGAACCATTCTCATGGCTTAGTTTAGACTGCCAGTATGTCTTTCCATTCTTCCCATGCTTCATACTGGTCTAGTACATGGATATTCTCATTGCAAAGGAGTGTGTTACTGGGAAGCATCTGCTTTAATTACTTGCTTTTTCATCTTCTGCCATGTGGTCTTGATTTACCATAAAGACTTCACTTTATCCATAGTAAAGTCACACAAGTCATCTAAATACAACAGCAGTCAGTATGCTAGAAGATTCTAAATGGATAAAATAAGCAATCTCCTCCAGAGACTTCACTGACTACTCCTATGTTGTTGATGCTTCTTGCTGACTACAGCCTAGTTACACATTTTTACCACAGGAGAAAACAATCATTTTGTTAACTTTCATGTTTAAGTCTTTCTAGTTTGTAAGAAATACTAAATTGTGATTTGGCTCTGCAGTTTGCCTTCTCCCCTCCCTTTCCTAAAGAGAAGTCCATCTTAGTAGAGGAAGTTACTGGCACTCTGCTTTTCTCCCTGCAGTGTATTCATTTTAGGCAAAGTCCAGAGGATTTACTATAACAATGCCTTTCTCAATCCCTCCCGGGGGTTGAGTTTAATAAACTACTCCAGCTGACTCTGCACTCTTGGAAGTAGAGTCCTTAATTCTGACCCTTTTGGAGGCTGTCCTCGAATAGGATTTTTCTCCATAATCCAGGTGCCTTGGTTTTCTCCAGCTCTGTGAGATAAGGAGCATCTCTAAGTTAGGCAGCTTGAACATCCCTCCTTTTCCTACCAGGAATCTCCCAGCCCCAGGTAAGAACTGGATCATAGGTTTGGAAGGAACCCTGAAGGTCACTTGGCTGAACCAAGCCCTCTTTCATCTTTGTTACTTGCCTCTGGATCTTCTCCAGTTTCTCTACATCCTTCTCAAAACGCAGACACCAAAACTGTACATATTACTTCAGCATAGGCTTAACCAGTGCTGAGTAGAGTGGTAGTATCACCTGTCACGTCTTGCATTCAATATATTGGTTAATGAAGTCCAAAATTGTACTTGCTTTTTTTGTGATTGCATTGCATTGTTGTCTCAAATGTATGCTCTACCATAACATCCTGATTGTTTTTGGCAATGTTACTGCTTTAGACAGTTATTCCCCTCATTCTGTATGGTATGTTTGCATTTTCTCCTTTACATAGAAGGCCTTGCATTTGTTTTGTTGAATTTAATTTTATTGTCTACTAGCTGAAGTGCCTGTTCTTCTCCTAGGTTGTCATTTTTGTAATTGCAGTATTTGTTTATTTTCAAAGAACTTAGTGCAACATATTTAGGTAAAAAGTATTGTTTATTTTTAAAGAACATAGTACTACATTTTTAACATTTAATATTTCATGTGGAGCAAAAAGGCAAGCGTCAATATAATAATGACAACTGAATTGAATTCACTGCATCCAAAATGGAGTGGTACCAGTTAATTATCTGAGAAGCAAAGTAATCCCAGTCAATGGAAGTCCCAACAAGGATCGAGTGAAAAATAACTTGCCTATAATTTTATTTGGGTGGTATTCAGTGATTTTTTTTTTTTTTGGAAGGTTTGGAGTAGATAGGACCTGCCATTCTGGATTTTTAGAAGCAAACATACATCCAAACATACCCACACACATTTCGTTATATGTATATAGAGATAGCTAGTGAGAGACAGAGTTCAGTTTCCAAATTTATCAAGATTCTTTTGACTTCTGTCCTCAAGTATTTCAAAATCCTCTGTTGTGTTGTCATCTGCAGACTTGACCATGAAGCCCCCTTTTTCTGCATCCAAGTAATTAATAAGTGTTGAACAGCACTAGACCCAGAACAGATTCCTATGCAGCTTGATGTCAAGAAACTTCTTGTCAGTGTCATACCAATCTGTTCATAAGTATTCT